TCTGGTAACTTGGTTTAAGGAACCACTAGAACCTAAACCTTAATAGCAAAGGAAATTAGATTAAGTTTCAATAGCGAGGAAACCCCGTTATATACTATATACATCTATATACCATATACCCATATCATGGTAACTTAGTTCCTTCAACCCTAAACCCAAGCATCAAAGTGGAATGATTTCATGCAATGCTTTGAAAAGGCTACCCGGTCTCTTTCACTCCGGAAGGTCGCTGGGCAGATTGCAGGGGTTGGGGGTTGATAGGGGTTGGGGGTTTGGGATTTGGGTCTAAGGTTCAAGGTTGTAGTCTGAGGTTTAAGGTTGTAGGGGTTTGGAGTCTAGGGTCCAAGGTTTGGTGTTTGGGGTCTAGGGTTGAAGGTTTTGGGTTTGGGGTTTTGAGTTCAAGCTTTCGGGTTTTCTGTTTAGGGCCCTTAGGGTTTGGGTTCAGCGATTGTGGAAGGTCGAGGGCTCAAGAATTCAGCCGTTTATACGTCAAGTGATGTAGTGGACCAACTGCCTAATTATTGGGTACTTGGACCCTAAACCCTTAACTGTATGTATCCCTAGATATTCCCATACATCCCTGTATACCCCTATGTGTCCCTTTAAAGGGGACAAGTCCTAAGTTGGGGAGATTGGCAGAAGCTATTCAGGCCATACGAATTGAACAGAGCACAACGACTCCCAAAGGTAGGCAATCCGGCCGCACCTTCCCGCTACAAGATACTACTGGATCAACGTCAGGGATCCTGTATACTCCTTTGGGGTATGGGATTCCGGCCACTCTTTTCCTCCTAGGGTAATGTGGGCTAAAATTATGAATCCTAACAGAATGCCTGTTAACTCTCCATGAAGCCCTCAACCCTGTAAGCCAGCCCATGGGGAAGGATTGCAAGACTGGAACGCTCCAGTGACTGAGAGCTGCCAGAACATCTCCCAGCATCTAGGCTGAGAGCATCAGAGCTGCTGTGGATGGCGGAAAGTTTGCATAACCTTACATACCCCATACCTTAGGAGGACCCCCCACCCTGTAATAGTGGTATGGGGGGAATAGAAGAGGACCCTAATATACTCCTTATTATCCATAATAGTCACTATTACTGGGTAGGGGGTCCACCTAACCCATACCCTTGAAATTGCGGTGGTAGGGGAGCCGCAAGGGGTTGAAGATTTCCTCCATCCACCGTAGGGTTCAGGCTTGTTCATTGTTTCAGACTCTAGGTGCTGTAAGAGTTTGAGGTGCCAGATTACATCATGTATGATGTGCGCATTCAGAACTTCGGGTTTCAGGGTGCAAGATCTGGGATTTAGGATTATAGGGTTTCATGATGGCTGATTAGGGTTTAGGTTGTAGGGGCCTTAGCAATTAGAGTTGGCTTTGCTCCTTATAGACAGGTTTCTGGAGAATCCGCTGTTGGACCTGTGATTGCTGGGGAGTACGCTGGCCTCGTCAAGTGGAAGGGGGCTTTGGTTCGGGTTCCAACTCAGATTTCCAAGAATGTTCTGAATTTTGTATTTGAATCTCTGAGCAGTGGTGAGTACTTTACCTATTGAGTGTCAAACTGCTCCGTCATGCAAGCAAGTAGCATGCAAAGACACAGCTCAAGCAAAGCCAACAGTCATGAGCACAACATGCAACGAGGACTTCCATCCTTGCTGTCAAGGGCTCATGCAAGCCTGCAGGCTACCCTATCCAAACATCCCATAGAACTAATGAAAAGCCCTCGAAAGCAGCAGGTTTTTGAGCAAGTCAGTTACGAGAGAAGACTCCTGGATCTAGTGGCTGCGCCATTTTCCCACGCACATCGGTATCGCTGAGCTTAGGACATGCCCATGCGGAGCCAACGCGAAGATGTGCCGCTGGACCGTCACGTGGCCAGCGGTTGATCTTGTGAGTGCAGGCTGTTGAGCTTAAACAGCACATTGTCAGGGCGTGAGGTGCAGGAGGTCTGCCTGACACAAGAGCCTCATTCAGGTGTCAGAGCTCCTTGCCCATTGTGTAAGAAGTTCAGAGAGATCAGACATGTCTATCTGCGCAATACATGTAGTAAAACATGGGATGCACGAAATCTCAGTGGACAGGCTTCAGTTCCTCAGAACCGCTGGCAACGAAGTAATCCCCGAGCTGACAGCCGGCCGCAGCAGTGTTTGGTTAGAAACAGCACCCCTGATAGCTTTACAGGGTGAACACAGCCATTCTGAATGCCACCGCAATGTCACTTGGTTGAGGCAATTGTCATCTCCTGGATATTGATTATACTGAGAATCTGAGCAGGGCCCTCTTGCGTCTCGTATCTCCACCTACAGGATGTGTCTCATCCACCACCTAGCAGCCAGCAGAAGAATGCGATGACTGTATAAAGAAGCCAAAAAAGCCGTATGGCAGCATGAAGTCCAGACCCCCAAACATTCAACTGAATATGCTCTTCCACCTACAACCTTCCCTGATTTTCCACGGAAATGCTTTACCCAGTTTTCCAAGAAAACTCCCCAAAATGGTCCATTGCGCCGAGGATGAATGGGGGTCCACGACTCAGCTTGCACGGCATGTCTTGGGGCGATTAATCTGCAGGTTAAGCCATATAGTCCCCCTTACTTAAGTAGATACAATATGGCTTGGGGTATATTCTAATAAGATCCCATATACCCCATATTCTATCTACTTAAGGGGGACTATAATTCTAGTGAGACTGGTATAGTATAATACTCGTAGCAAAGTAATGGCAATGTGAAGGGAGGCGATTCTGAGTGCACAGCCCGCAAGTGCAAGCCAAGACGTGCAGCCACGCTTTCGGCTTTATGGTTGCAGGGCGCACCTCATCGTTCAGAGAGAGTTAAGAACATCCCGGCTCTTCATCTAGAATCTAGGCTTTGGACTGTCTGAAGGAAAACGTGAAGGGTCCGGATTTTGAGCATGCCCCACTGCCCACAACTTACATCAAGACGGCCTCCTAGCGCAGATTTTCACGACTTCTTGTAGTGGTATTATCCCAATTTAACAGCGGAGAGTCAAATTGAAAAAAGGGAAGATTAAATGAACCTCGAGGAATGACAACCATGGATCATTATCGCAGTCATGATCATATCTGAATATCTTCATCAGCAGCATCATGCGGATGCTGCTTGCCCTCTATTGTCCCAGATTGGGTTCTGTGTGCTCGGGCCACGTAAAACAATGCAATCCAAATTTATAAATCCCTCATGCAGCCCTGGACACCTACTGTTGCTGTTTCGACTACTATTACTTCAATTTCGTAAAGTTGTTTAGGGTTTAGGGTTTTGCCCTAAACCCTAAACCTTAAACCCTAAGCCCTTAACCGTGAATGTTGCTCCGAGGTATGAGAATGAGGTGTGCTACCCTACGGCGGAGAGCTGCCCTGTCACCTGTACGCCTCTGGGATTGGCGTGGAATACCGGGTTTAGGGGTTGGGGGTTTAGGTTTTAGAAGGTTTTGGGGTTTAGGGGTTTTGGGGTTTAGGGTTTATGGCTTTTGCACTTGCGAGATGTAAGCTTTGGTGCTTGAAGCAGAATTATCAAGCAAGATAGACCCCAATAGATCTGAGTCCTCATGAGTGGGACTCCAGAAAAGGGATCCCCTAATTTTGGGAAATCCCCCCGTGCCCTCACACCACACCTTCGAGACCCATATGAAACACGATTTTATGATGGTTTTTGGTAAGTGTATAAGGGGCTTGTCAGGACTGGTGACTGTACATATTCTGTGTCTAATTTGGGTGCCATGCGCTCGGTTGACAAGATTTCCTCACTTAACTGCGCCGATCAATGCCATGAAGTTGCGCACATGTCGGATGTGTGAGCCTTTCAAGAGTGGTTGCTATATTTCTTGGCACTCTTACCTCTACATGTTACGTGCTGGCTGACTGTCTTGCAATTTGCAGTCCTCCTGTTCCACAGAAGCATCAGCGTGTTCGAGTCGACCAGTGTTTAGACTACAATAAAAATTTGAGTTGTTGGTTGCATGCCCTTTCAAAAAGTCCTGCAGTTCAGCGCTTGTATCCGCAAGCGATGTAAGTGGATGCGCTCGGATGTGATCAATGTAGCCTCTTCCAAGCCCAAGCCTGCACGTGATCCAAGGCTCTGCTGTAGAGTGCGCCTACTGAATATATTACAGCGTAGTATGGTGTATTATAGTATATCATACAGGGCAACCCATTACCCCAATAATGTGGTGTTCCAAAAGGGAAGCTTCATCATCTGATTAGTGCTTATGCCTAGAGGCTTCGACGAAGTAGTAACAGCAAACAGGAGCCATACACAATTCGAGTTCGTCCAGGCTGGCTCACATATTGCACGACACTCCACAATCCCTGGATTCATACAGTGGAATCCTTGTCTACACCTGATATGTCCGTGTATATATATATATAGAACAGTCTTAGACTATCCACTTCTTCAGGCTCTTCAACTACATAATTGAATTATTGTCGTCATTATAATTACTGTTATTGTTAAAGAAATCTCCTCTAGCGCTGCTGGGTCAATTCCTGGTTAGATCAGAGACTCAGAGCCTAGGGCTTCGGAGCAACGCTGCTACATCACAGCCACTTGCCGAAGTGGGCAGTTTTTGGTATCGTCCTGTTTAGGGTTTATAGGGTTTGGGGTTTATAGGGTTTAGGGTTTAGGGTTTGGGTTTAGGGTCTAAGGTTAGGGTTTAGGCGGTTTAGGGTAAGTATTGCTACTGGCCCATGTTTTTTGGTACCTGGATCCCAGCCCCCATCTCACCTCCTGTCTATATGAGGGTTTCCAAAATTTGGAGTACCATGCTGGGGGTGTGAATTTATCATGAGGGCGATTGACCTGACATGCAAGCTGCGTCATGAGAGGGTTACAAGAAGCCCAAAGATAGGCCTCACTGCAGCAGTCAGCGGCTCCCGGTAGCTGAGTTGAAAAAGGTAGCGCTCTTGCAGAGCCATGTTCGGCAGGTGCTTTTGAGGCATAGCAATTGCATTGGTGTCGCGGAGCAGTGGTTTCAGTACAGCGGCATGAGCGAAGCAGCGGGGCCATCTGAAGCACAGACTGGCCAGGCCAATAATGACTCAGCCCAGGCGGGCAGCTGGAAGCAAGCGTCGGCTGACTGGCACGGAAGCTGGTCGGGCAAGTGGCAGGACGGTGCCTGGAATGGATATTGGGGTTCCTATTCATGGTACTGGAAGCCATATCAATGGCAGTGGGGTAGTGATGATTCATGGAATGGCTGGCAGAAGACTGGTCAGAATGAATCTGAGAGTGGCGGGTCGAAGACGGGGCCGCCTGATGAAGAGGCGAGAGATGCCGCGGCCCGGCGAGCCTCGACATCGACGATGGGTGATGATGCAGGAGAGACTGCCACGGACTCCTGGATGGCTTACGAGCGGAGGGCGTCGATGGAGGACGAGGTTGGGAGCACTGCCAGCCGACTGCCGAAGGTCGGTAAGGACAACATTCCTGAGTTTGATGGAAGTACAACGATGAGGGAGTACCAGCGGAGGGTACGGCTGTTCGAGATCAGCACCTCGATTGATCCTTCGTATCGCGCTCAGAAGCTCATGGAAAAGTTGTCTGGCACAGCATGGCTCGCTACTGAAAGCATTCCTTTGGAAAGCCTAAAGCATCCGCAGGGTGTGGAACGATTGCTGAAGCATCTGTGGGCGGAGTTGGAACCTTTGGAATTCCTAAGGGTGTTCTCGACGTTGGCGGATTTCTACAAAGGATTTCGCAGAGCCAAGGGCCAAGAGTTCGTCGCGTACGACATGGCGTTCAGGATGCATCTTCAAAGGTTGGAGGAAATCAATGCTGGACTTGAAGGGGTCACAAAGGCCTATTGGTTTCTGGAGAAGGCTGGACTGTCGGCAGAGCTGAGAAAGCAGGTAGTGGCTGCAGCTGGGGGAACATATGATTACCCGAAACTGCCGGCAGCGGTTATGGCGATCGTTCCTCAGGTGAGTCGTGAAGAAGATACGTCTTCGAATCCGAACCCTCCAAGAATGTGGAAGCGTGGGAACCCTAAACAGGTACACGCGACGCTGGAAGTGGAGGAGGGCGAGGAGCCGGAAGAGGTCACCGCCGAGGAGGGAGACACGACCCAACTGGAGGCGGAGTTGGAAGTATACTCATGACTCACGCGGCCAAGAAGAGGGCGGCTATTGAGCAGTCCAGAGGATTCCGAACGCCGGAGTCGGCCGAAGCTCGCGAGAAGCGGATCAAAGACATGAAGGCTCGAATGCCGTGTTCAGCATGCAAGGCACACGGCCATACTGTATATATGGACATTGGCATAGTGACCCTGCGTGCCCATACCGTCACAAGCCGACGGGCAAACCCGAGACCTCCAAGGGGTCTGGAGCCAAGGTGCTGGCCGTGGTCGAGGAAGATCTAAGCGACTCTGAGTATGAGCCTGACGAGGAGGGGATCTTCATGGCGACCACGTGGGACGGCGAGGGCCATGAGAACTGGTGCGCCAATGCCATGGTTCAGAAGGCTGGCGACATGGGAGATATGAAGTGCATGGCTCTGAGTGACACATGCTGCGCTAGGAGTGTTGCTGGGGAAGAGTGGGCTCAACTTCACATGAAACACTTGCACGCAGCCGGAGCGGATGCCTTCATTGTTCCTGAGAAGCGCCCTTTCAGGTTCGGAGCGGGTCCTCGCGTGTGTTCGACATACAGCATAGTGATACCTCTTGCGGTTGATCAAGCGAAGATAGTTCCATGGATTCGGGTGAGTGTGGTGCCTCAGCAAGTGCCTTTGTTGCTGAGTAAAAGCGCCTTGAAGTCCTTAGGAGCTGTCTTGGACCTTGCTGGAGGGAAACTGGAGTTAGCTGCCTTGGGGACGAGAACAAAACTGGTAGAGACGGCCACCGGTCTCTGTGGGTTTGAGATAAATCAGTCTCCTCAAGACAGCCGCGGCGACTTTCCTTCAACCGGAATACTTCTGCAAGACCATGAGGTAGAAGTAGACAATAGACAGGACAGCAATCGACGGGATCAGAGCGGAGTGGCCCATAGACAGAACAGCAATCGGCAGGATCAGAGCGGAGTGGCCCACCCATGTCATTTAGGTCAAGTGGATACCGTGGAAGGCGCGCCGCAGTCATCTTGGGACAAGCGCAGCAATCCACAGGATCAGAGCGGAGTGGCCGTCCCGGAAGAGGCTGGACCGGTGAATCCTGAGAGATTGGCTTCTGCCTTGATGATTCAGAAGGATTTTTCCTTTCAGGCCTTACAACGGTTGGTTGCTAGTATCCCTCTGGCCACCACTAAGAAGCATAGGGATGCTCAAGGGGGCAAGGGCCATAGGATACAAGGAATGGTAGCCGGTGTGTGGGCTCATGGATCGCAGTGCGGGATTACAAAGACGACTAACAAGTGGCCTAAGAGTATTCGATACATCAACCAATTTGCGAAAGCTCATGGGGTGCAAAGTGGTCCTCCTTTATGCTTGCGAGAAATGTCAAGACCAAGATACACAAGGATAATCACAACACAGCAGGATCGATTGTCAGAACGGTGACATTCGGAGACTTTCAGGGTGGTGAGCTGTGGGTTGCAACGGGTGAGGAACAGGGCGTTGATGACAAGTCACAAGTCCATTGGAGGAGGGACAAGAACGGCATAAGACGTCCTTGGATTCTTGTGGACACACGTGAAAAGCCCTATGACCTGGACCCGAAAATCGAGCATGCGACCCAACCCTGGAAAGGGGAGAGATGGTGCCTTTCCTTCTACATCTCCAGAGGTGTAGAACACATCGATGAGAAGGATCGGGGTAACTTGAAGAAGTTGGGGTTTCCGTGCCAATACTCGACAGCAGCCAGGACCTTTGGGGTAAATGTTATATCACATGACCTTCTACATAACCGGGAGCCGCTCAGAGAGAGAGAGGGTCATGACAACATAGCCAAGCGCACTCCGCAGCTATCTCATTTCAGCGACAGCGTGAAGTGCAATCCACCTGCGTCCGAAAGGCAAGATGGCCTCACTACTTGCTCCGAAGAGGAAGAACGAGTACGCGAGTGCCATCGCAGCCCGGACCCGAGTCACCGAGGCCGACCTCATGAATCGCGATCTGAATCGCCTGAAGGCGATATGGGAGGTCGTGAAGCCGAAGAAGAGGGTCTCTCTCCTCCCCACAAATTGGAAGAGAAGGGACCTGGAAGGACTGAGGGAGATCTACAGCGGGACCGTGGTCCCCGACATGGAGTATCCGGACGACAAGCGCTGGAGCAGGTGGGGGAAAGCAAAGCTGATATTGGAGATTTCAACGTGGGAAGAGCAGGTCAAAGAGTCATCGGACCCGCTGTTGGATTACAGCGACTTGTTCGAGGAGTCTCCGCTATGCGAAAGCTGTGGAATTCCACTCACGATCAGATGCAATCGTCTGACTCACGAAGAATTCTTCGGATGTCTGCGCTTTCCTCTGTGCCGAACCACTCTTCCTCTGAACTACAATGGTCTTCCGACAGGAAGAGTTCAGAAGGAGTTGATTGCAAAGAAGAGGCCAAGTACAATGTGAATTTGACCAAGGAAGAGATGAACGAGCTCCTGCTGCGCCGCAAGGGCAAGGGCGATGGAAAGAAGGAGACCAAGATCGAAGCCCCCGTCGAGGTCAAGAAGTGAGAGAAGCATCCCCGGGACAGCCTCAAGTCCCGAAAGATTCTCCTGAGGATCATGATAGTGACCATGTGGCCGGAACCAAAGTCCCTCTCTCAGCGGATGAGATTTCTGATAGGATCATTGAGGGTAAGCGTAGAAGAAATCAGCTGAAGAAGGGGATGGCAAGAAGGTTTCTTGGCAGCGCCAAGAATCTGGCTGTCAGTGTTCTAGTAGCCACTGTCGCTGGCCTGATGTTCTTGAGAGTTCTCTCACGAGAAATTGCTTTTGCCGAGAACAGTTTGGTTCGTGAACATGGATGGTCACCGGTGGCCTTGGTGTTTGGCAAAGAACCTAGAGTGTTCGGGGAGATGTATAATGAGGGTAACCCGGCGACGTATCATCCTGAAGTTGGTAATCCCGAAAGTGATGTTGCGGTTAGGATGCGGTATCGGTATCATGCTAAGCTGGAGTTTGTTCGCAGTCAAGCTAGACACATGCTCATGAACACTGCTCATCAACGGACCCGCAAGATAACGAATCCCATGGTAGGTCAGATGGTCTTCTTTTGGAGAGGGGAGAGTACGAGAAGAAGAGAGAACCAAAGTCGATGGGTTGGACCAGGGTTCGTTGTGGGGTTACAAGGGGGAAGTGCCTGGGTTGCTTGTGGGGGAAGGTGCTTTCTGGTCGCGGGGGAACACTTGAGAGAAGCTGTGGGGGATGGTGATCCTGAAATCCAGAAAGCCATTGCCTTGTTTAAAAAGCTCCCAAAGGAAGCCACTTATGAAAATCTGGTGGGTCAAGAAGGGCCAACTTATGAGGGGGGAGAAATCGAAAGACAGCCGCTGGCTCAAGATGTCACCGAGGAAATGGAGGTGGATAGCGGCGATGTTCGAGGTCTCCCCGAATCAATTAGGAAAGTGGTTGCCAGCGTCGGATGGCATATTGATGAATACAACAATCCTGTTTTGGTTACTCATAAGGCATGGGCCATGAGAACTCCGGAGAGCAGGCGTGAGGGTTATCGGTATCCGTATAGGTCCACGTGGGCTCGGGTGGGATTGGAAGTGTCTGGAGAGAGAAGTGAAATGGGCTGAAATGGATAATCCACACGAGCTTATACCCAACGGTCCCGCCGCCATCCTCGTTTCCGTGTTTCAAGGGAGAACGCGTCGGGAAATGTGCCTGGAGGACGTTCCGTTGGGTTTCAAACGTCGAAAGGAGGAAGTGGCTCAGGTTCAAGCGGTGGCGCAAGATACCGGGGTGGCTAGAACGAAACTGAAAAGGATGTTGGAGAAAGAGATTCCGTATGACCGCATTCCCGAAGCGGAAAGGGGGTTATACAAGGAGGCTGAAGACAAGGAATGGGGTAGTTGGCTTGAATATGACAGCTGTGAGATTTTGTCCTTGGAAGAAAGCATGAGAGTGGAGAGGGAAGAGAAGAGTCGAATCCTCCCAAGTAGATACGTTTTCAGGAATAAACATGCCGGGCTAGTTGACGAGAAAGGATGTCCGCTGCCCGTGAAGGCTAAAGCCAGGTTGTGTCTGGCGGGGCATCTGTGTCCGGACAGTTTGTCGGGGCAGGTTCAGGTCGACTCGCCGACCATCGAGCGTGTCTCAACCATGCTTTTCTTGCATCTCGCTGTCAGCTATGGGTGGACTAGAGATTGGTTCGTTGGCGACATTTCTAATGCCTTTCTTCAAGGAGCCCCATTGACTGGTAAAGCCCCCATGTACATGAGGCCACCCAAACAAGGGCTGAAAGGCGTGGAGCAGGGCCAACTGCTTAGATTACTCAAACCGGTGTATGGACGGCCAGATGCACCGCGGGCTTGGTATGAGGAGCTTGCCAGGATCTTGTGTGATGAATTAGGCTTTGAGAAGTCATTTGTGGACCCGGCGATGTTCATGTTGAGAGATTGTAAGGGCAAGCTCATTGCGCTGATGATTGTTCATGTTGACGATGTCATGGTCTGTTGCGATGGTAGTGAACAAGCTAGGGAAGTTGTAGGAAGGCTCCACAGGCGATATCCTTTTGGCACGTGGCAGAGAGTTTGCGATCAGCCATCGGGAATCAACTACTGTGGTAAGGAAATCAAGGTTACTGAGAGTAACGGCGAGAAGCAAATTATCCTTGCCCAGAACGGATTCATCGATGGTAGATTGGAGACGATGGAAGTGAGTGCCGCAAGGCGGGCGCAGTTGGACAGTTGTGCTACTCCCGAGGAGTTGAGTAATTACCGGTCTATTGTTGGGTCGCTTCAATGGGTTGCTACCCAGACTAGACCTGATATCGCCTTTGAGGTGAATCAACTCCAGAAAAGAGTGGCGGACCTTCGGGTCCATGACTTGTTGAGGGCCAATAAGGCTGTTCGAGAAGTCGCTCAGCATCGTTCGCAGCTTGTGTTTTGCAACTTGGGTCCTGACGCTGAGTTGATCGCATATAGCGATGCTGGACTCTACAGTAGTGTGGGGGTCGAGGAAGCGGAGGACCTGTTGCAGTCGGGCAAGGAGAAACGATTGGTGTATTCCCAAAAGGGAGCGGTGATAGGGTTTGTTCGGCGCGGTGCTACTGAAGTTAAAAGCCTTCAGGCTCATATGAACATTGTGGATTGGAAGAGTAGTACGAACAAACGAGTCATCGAAAGCTCGTCCGCTGCTGAAACACATGCGGCCTTGATGGCACATGGCATGGCGAGGTTTTGTCAGGTGCTGTTGAGTGAGATCCGTTGTGGAGGAATGGTTATCTCAGCCATTGAAGATGATGGTTGGCAGCAGCTGACTCCTCTTACTTTGGTCACGGATTGTAAGAGCGTTTATGATACGGTTCATCGTGATGGTCAGCATGTGTCCGATAAGGGTAGTATAGTTCAAGCAGTGCTCTTACGGCAAATCCTATCCACCAGGATGTCCTGCTCCAAAGCTCGATTGCTGTGGGTACCTACTCGGCATCAAATAGCCGATGGGCTCACGAAAGCCGGGCGTTGTAAAGATTTTAGAGAGCTTTTGGACAAAGGTGTTGTTTTTCGCGAAGAAGCAGTGAAGCGGACGTCAGGTCAAAGAAGACTTTTGACCAGTGTGAATTTATCATGAGGGCGATTGACCTGACATGCAAGCTGCGTCATGAGAGGGTTACAAGAAGCCCAAAGATAGGCCTCACTGCAGCAGTCAGCGGCTCCCGGTAGCTGAGTTGAAAAAGGTAGCGCTCTTGCAGAGCCATGTTCGGCAGGTGCTTTTGAGGCATAGCAATTGCAGGGGGGTCCCGATCATTGTATATTGGGATCATTTGCGGCAACTATCTTCATCTAGCGTTCCAGGGTTGTGCCCCTAAGGTCATACCCCTAGAAGGTGTCTCCAATTCAGCCTTAATATACCCCCTCATATGAGCCAATGTAGGCCCCTAGGGTCCCTTAGAAGGATCCCTAAACCCAGTGGTACAACGCTAGGGGTACAAGCCTGAAACCCGTGATTTTAAAGTCCTACTACGGACCCTGCGGCAGGGAGCGCATCGGGGCAGAACTACTTCTTAAGCAGCAATAGCAGAAACCATGCTGACAGCCGTTCCTAGACTCCAAAGGTGAGGGCAGGTAACAGGGCCTATTCTCAGTTGTGCTCGAAGCGTTGGGCATTTCAGGTCTTCTCCCCAAAGCTTGATTTCAGCTACTTCACAGCTACCTTCTGTTGTAGGTCACATGACAGCCTCAATGTGAACTCTAGGGCATCGCCTCTTAGTGTCTTGTTGGTGGCAGGGCTGTAAAAACAGTTCCTACCCGCCTTTTCCCCTAACCTGTTATTCATCCCATCACTGGCAGTTGGTTGTGTCCAGAGCCCCTGGTGTCGCTCCGCTAAAGCCCCTCCAGTAATTTGTTGGACACTTATTTGAAACCTGGACAGTGAGCAGGGTTAGTTTCCTGTCATACTACGACTTGAGGTTCTCGCCGACAGTTTGGTCTCTGATCTTTGGAGTATATAACCCCAATATATACCCTATAATAATATAGTACTTTCCATTTTCTTTTCCATCATCCCTATGTAACCCCCAATGATCTGACCCATATTCTATCCACTTAAGGGGAACTATATGCTTCTATGTAAGACAGATCAGCGCAATTAGGGCTAGTTGTAGCAAGTCGGCTTCACCTGCCCAGGAACTGCTGCCAAAACTGGAGTTTAGGGAGTATTGTCATTAGTGTATTATGGTATATTATGGTATATTCTGGTAT